GGGTACACGATATGAGTAAATATCATAGTTTTGTAAAGATCGCATTAATAGCCCAAACGATGTGAAGCTGATCCAGATATGTTCGACGGAAAAAGAGCATAACAACCAAGTTTGCAGTAGTGCCTGAAGTTGCCAGGCATCACAGCATGCATTTGGTTTAAAGAGTACCAAGTCACGAAACGCAAATGACAGAATGAGTGATAACATCTGAATAAAGAGCCATAGCTACCTAGTTCCGTATATCTCATCACATGTGCAAACTCAATTTCCGGACGTAATCAGCTTTTACGATGCAGTAAAAAGGCCGGTGAATAATTAAAGATGGCTTCAGTCATAATCCTGATGACTTATGTGTCGTTTCGTTATATTATTTCGCCATTTTACGAATGTAAAAGGTCATTCTGTGGACATATGGCCTATTTATTTCTCGTGGTACTTTCGGCATTCATTGAAAATAATAATATTTCTAAAGAGAGCACCAACCCTTAGCCTCGGGTTCGCAAAAAAAAACGCTTATAGCAGAAATTCCCTCCAATGTAGGAACAGCTGGCTTTCCGGTAAACCATGTGAAAATGACGACTGACGAAGTCTGCTGAATAGAACAGCTGTGCTAACGACGAGAGCAAGTTCAGAAAAGAAAATCCTGATCATTTGGAAGAGTTGGTAAAAACTGCATCTGAAAAGATTGGATGGTAATGGGCGGGAATTTCCAAATCCTCACCTCTGGCAAAATTAACCCGCGCGGGGCTGGGGTCTCCAGCCGAACGCGCGGGGCTGGGGGGGTAAATTTTACCCCCCCCCCTGTTATCTCCCGAACTAATGGTCCGATTTGGAAAATTCAAACGCCAATCGAAAGCTCTCATCACGAACTACTAAAAACATGTACTTAATTTAAAGTTTGAGGTCAAGGTCAAGGTCAGGTCAAGGGTACAAATTGCAAGTTTCTACAGTATCGGCCTTGCACCGTAGTTGCCGAAGAATGGAGTCATGGACTGAGACTGATCGCCCAAAACGTGTTCTTAGGCTACCAAGACAATATTCGTTGCATACAATATCATTCAGAGGTCAAGGTCAAGGTCAGGTCAGGTCAGGTCACCAAAAAACAAAATATAGAAAAGGGCATGTGCGACACATGTTTTATGGGTCATTTTACTCATAGAATTCAATAGGCACACTCAATAAGTGATATGGACCACCTCTGGATGAATTTCAGGTCGAGGTCAGGTCAAGGTTGTTGTATTATGGTCCAACCCCCGCACGGCTGCTGGCCGCGCCTGCGCGCGCCCCTGCCGCCGCCACCGCTGGCCGCCCCGGCTCCGTGCCTGTGAGCGCCTCTGCCGCCGCCAGCTGACTGTGCGCGCCGAGCGGCATGACTGGCGCGGGCGACTAGGCGCGGCGCTCGCCATACTTGTTATCTTTTGGACACTTTTTCGGCCTGAACGTATCGCAGTAAATAAATCGCGTTTTTCATTGATTGTGTGCTCTTTCACTCAAACGAACCAAAACATAACATGGCGCGGTCGGTTTTGTAATTATGTGATTGAGCTTACAACGCGATGACTAAAATTATCGTTCAAGAACTGACGGCACTGCTGGAGAGGCAGGTGAAGAGAGCCGCCGAGGCCGACAAGCGCCTGGAGCGCTTGGAGAGGCTCCTAACCGGGGAGCCCTCCGCGGGGACGGACGTAACGACCGGAGTGTCAGAGTCGGGGGCTGAGCGAGGCGCTGATGGATCCGTTGGACCAGCTGCCGCCGCCCGCCGGACTGTCTGCCTGCCGGTGTCGGCGACCCCGACCCCGCGACCGAAGTCGGCATCGACGTGCTACGACCGTGCCGAGTGCAGTGTGCCCGACAGTGGTTCAGGAGCGGTGAGCCGCAGGCTGGAGGACTCTGAGCTGACGCTCAAATACGCCGTGAACGTTTGTCGGGCGAGCGATGGTGCCCGTGTCACGTGCCCAGACCTCCGCGGCAACGAGGGACATTCCGCGGCGCGCCTGCCGGCCTACAAGAGGCGCAGGCGGCCGAGTGTCGCCCATTCCGCCACCGCTACAGATCGGGATCGTCAATTTCTTGAGCGTTGCCCTACCTGCGGCCGTCGCCAGCACGCCGGCGGAGACATGTGTCGCGCCGCTGGCGCCATCTGTCGTGCGTGTGGCGAACTAGGGCATTTTGAGGTGGTGTGCCACGAGAGGGCCACCGCCGCGGCCGATCGTCCAGTGGCGCCATCTGCAGTGACAACAGTATGCGACTCTCCGGGGGTGGCGCTAGTAGCGGTAGCCGCCGGCACCGCCGTGTCACCGCCGCCGGCGGACACGGGCCAAGCCAGGCACACTGCGCTGCAGCCCACGGAGCTGAGTGACGCTGCTGACGTCCACGGAGCCTCGCCGCCGCCGGCGGGGGGCTGGCCAACGCAGACCACGGACAGTAATGAAGCCCCGGACAACGCCGTGTCACCGCCGCCGGCGGACACGGGCCGAATCGGATGTGCTGCGGCGCAGCCCACAGAGCCGGACGGAGCTACGGACGCCTACGGAGCCTCGCCGCCGCCGGCGGGAGGCATTCCAGCGTGCAGCACGGACCGAGTGTACGGAGCCTCGCCGCCGCTGGCGGGAGGCCAATCGGTTGCCACCGGCGCCGCCGTGTCGGTGCCGCCGGCAGACACGGGCCGAGGAGCCGGCCGTACCGCGGCGCAGCCCACCGAGCCGGCTGGCGCGCGCGGAGCCTGCCCGCCGCCGGCGGGAGGCTGGCCAGCACAGACCATGGAGGCAGCTCCCGGCGTGTCACCGCCGCAGGCGGACACGGACCGAGCTGGATGTACCGCGGCGCAGCCTACAGAGCCGGCTGACGCCCACGGAGCTTCGCCGTCGCCGACGGGAAGCTTTCCAACGCGGACCAGCCATGGAAACGCAGCCGCTGATGACGCCGTGTTGCCGCCGCCGGCGGACACGGGCCAACCCGGGGCCACTGCGGTGCAGCCTGCAGGCCCGGATGCAGCGGCTGCAGCTTACGGAGCCTCGCCGCCGCCGGCGGGAGGCCTACCCACGCGGACCAGGGACGGAGGTACAGCCGCCGGCTACGCCGTGTCGCCGCTGCCGGGGGACACCAGCCAAGCCGACTGTTGTGCGGCACAGCCCACCGAGCTGAGTGAGACTACTGACGTCTACGGCGCCTCGCCGCCGCCGGCGGGAGGCATGCCAACTCGAAGCACGGATGGAGGCCCAGCCGCCAGCACCGCCGAGTCGCCGCCGCCGGCGGGCACCGGCCACGCCGGCTGTAGTCATGCGGCGCAGCCTACCGAGCTGGCTGACGCCCACGGAGCCTCGCCGCCGCTGGCGGGAGGCCTGCCAGTACGGAGTGGGGACGGAGACCCGCCCGAACAAATGGTAGCGGCTCACGCCGTCGCGCTCCTCCGTACGCCGCAGGGATGCGTGTCCACCGGTGACAAGTCCGACTGGCGCGGTGACACGAACCTCGGTGACACCACCCTCCACTCGGTCGAGGTGGTGGATGACCTGCTCGGTCCGCCCGTCGATGACGAGGTGTAGGAGGACGCTGAGGACCCGCTTCACGCAGCTGCCGTCGCAGCTATGCTCGCTGAGCGGGATACGGAGTGCGACGCGCGTCTGCCGCCGCTCGTGGACCCGAGTCTAGGGGTGACCAGAGCCGCCGCTGACCGCGACCCGTGGCCGCCACCGACACCGGAGCGACGCCTGCCGCGGACCTCCCCGTGCGACGGCGGGCGCGTCCGCTGCAAGAAGCGCCCGAGACGCCTCGGAAGAGAGCGCAGGCGCCGCCGTCTGCACCGCGCTGCGGTGGCCTTGTGCGCCCGGACCCCGGAGGGTCCGCTGTGGCGCCTTGGAGCGAAGACGATGTGATCGTCTTGGGGGGGAGGTGTTGTATTATGGTCCAACCCCCGCACGGCTGCTGGCCGCGCCTGCGCGCGCCCCTGCCGCCGCCACCGCTGGCCGCCCCGGCTCCGTGCCTGTGAGCGCCTCTGCCGCCGCCAGCTGACTGTGCGCGCCGAGCGGCATGACTGGCGCGGGCGACTAGGCGCGGCGCTCGCCATACTTGTTATCTTTTGGACACTTTTTCGGCCTGAACGTATCGCAGTAAATAAATCGCGTTTTTCATTGATTGTGTGCTCTTTCACTCAAACGAACCAAAACATAACAAAGGTCAGGTCAAGTGAGGTCAAATTTTGAAGTTGGTTGTTAAGGCCTAAAAAGGTGTCTATCTGATGCAGTTTTTCACGGCGAATCGAATGGTGCTATTTTTGTTTCCGTACGAGGTCTAGAACTTCCAAAAAAGTCATTTTTCAAAAAATTTGTGTGTCGTGACGTCATAAAATTTTGAATAACTCCCACATTTTTGAACCGATTCTTCTAAAATTTGGTATGTAGGTGCACATAGACCACTTCTCTGACATTTATTCCGGTTTTTTTCGATAGACTCAAAATTTTGGATTTTATAATGATTTTCCCAAAAAAGTCAGTTTTTTGAAAAAATTTAGGCCAAAATCCAAAATTTTCAAAAAACCGAGATAGCCATTTGATAGACAAAGTAAAATTACGTATAACCTTTTTTGTTACGTCTTGATTCCTTTAAAAATGAAGATGTTAGCGGCGTTTGAACTTTTGCCGTTTTTTAGGCGAAAATGGCGAACATGACGTCACTAAAACGTCAATTTCTCAAAAAATTTCCGACGGATTTCGCTCAAATTTTCAGGGAACGTGTCAAATTGATGTAAGAAAAGGTACAGAAAGTTTGGCGGCGCTGCGCGCCGCCGTTTTTGAGATATCGCAAAAATTCGCGAGGGGGGTAAAATTTACCCCCCCAGCCCCGCGCGGGTTAAGAAGACTTTCGGAATAGCTATATAATATAGACTTATGTCTCGTCAAGGCACTACAAGCCCAATTACCTTTCCCAGAACAAATGATCATCAGAAAAGCTGAATCTAACGTCACCAAACCCCCGGGGCGATGACCTCTCGATGACCTCACCTGACCCGGTACCCGACTGCGGCCGTTCTGTACGCGCTCCTTGATAATGTCAGCCAGATCTGGCAGCTCCTTCATGTAGCTACGGAACTCCTGGATGTTACTGCAACAACATGGAGATGCCGTCAGTGCTGGTGGCAGGGTGCACGGGACAGAAGCATAAGATAGATATAGTTGGGGGAGTTGGGGGAGGGGAGGCGACGATACTGGAGGGTTGGCGTGGAGGGAAAATGCACATGTCAAATACACAAATACAAGTGCATTAGTGTAGTAGCGTAATGTAGTACAACGTGTGGGAAAGCGTGATGTTATTGGTTACACCTGATTAAATTCAATCCTAATCGATAATGCCATTTGTCATAGTGTGTAAGAACCGGAACCAAGTACCAAATAGGAAACTTCTAGACAGAGAGCAAGGAGTTAGTGTAAATTCTAACCAAAGCGTCCCACCAAGGACACTCCCAAAAGAGGGGAAAAGGCTGGGGAGCTTTCCAGTCAGATCGACTGAGAGCTTGCTGGCGCTGGGCAGACCAGAGGCGAAGAAAGCAGAAGCTCTCAGCTCTGACCATAAATATTGTAAAGCGGTCTTGCAATGACAGCCGGATCAAAATACGAATAAGCATTTATGGAGAAGCAATCATCCAAGTGACAGGACAAAGAGATGACGACAACTTACATCTATGGAGCCGACCAATCGAGAAAGGATAACGGCGCACAATACGAGTACAAAAGAAATTACAATAATCAAATCCTCCTATTGGCAAGCGAGCATCGGCTCAGGACAGCGTATAACCAATAACTTGGCTGATACATTTCCGTTACATGATAGCGATCTCCATTACAGTCAATCATGTCGGTTTTAGATTTGGCCTGGCAGTTTTTGCCTATCCCTGCGAGGGTATAGAAGCCAACATTTAGAAACCAAACGACACTAACTAACTATATAGTTAGCATGAACTGTGGACATGAGTCGGACGTGACTTAATGATCACCGCAGCTTTATTGGCCATCAGCGTCATTTTTAGGGGCACCACAGTGAAGAAAGGTTCCATCTATCTCACTTCTACCAGTGTGTGAGGGACGACATATAGCCATACGCGATCACTCTACTTCTGGTTAGAGGGTAATATGTGTGACAGTTATTCATCGCAGCGGAAATAAAAATGCATTCAACTACCGAAGCTAAGAGGGATTTTGCTGATGCTGTTTGTCGGAGTTTTTGTGCGTGCCAAATTGATATGGTTAACGCCCATATTAGCCAGAAGACCGTTTTGGGCAAACAACAGGCTATAGTCACCGTGCAACAGGCGACAGCAAGCGAACACACGAAGCAAGTAACGACAGATGTTGGTACCGTCACGGAAGTAAGAAAAAATATATCAATTCATTAGAAATGCAGCAAATGAGGTAGCAAATAAAATGTGGAATAATTAGGTCCAGTAAAATATAACGAAAAACTTATGTCATCAACATTTAAACAAATCGTTAGACTATGCTAAAATGCATATAAACAGGCCAAGTCCGAAAAACAGCAAGTACACAAACACTTTCCCAACGTTCCACGGGTAAGCTCTGGATATTGTCAGAACCCGCTGAAAATCGGCTTCGCGGCCTAATATTACCACCCGTCACCATCCCTGCGTGGGCTCTATGCGGCTCATCGACTGACCATAAAAATGGCGTCATTTCCATGTCTCAGTTTTATAGCTCCGATGGATCCGGATAGTCGCCAATCACTGCCCGTCACAGAGCCACGACACGAGCATCGCTCCGACCAGCCCCATTCAGCTCCCCGGCGAATGAAACCAGCGGGCCGGCCCCCCGCCCTGCGGGAGCTGCAGCCAATCGTATTCCGTTTGATAACCGGCCAGGCGGGCGGAACTTGACAAGGTTTCTGCACGCTGACAGCGCCGTGTGCGGTTGGGCGGGGGTATTTGAGGCACGGCTTCTTCAGAAGTCGGGAAATTCGGCGAGTTCAATCGGTAACATAGTGAAGGGAAATTCAGCGAATGGAGAGCGGTGCAGCGCAGATGGCGGATATACATGATTGAGAATCATACACAATGTGCATGTTTGAGTGTTACATCAAAAGAAACGAGCATAAGAGTGAAATGAAATAACAGAAATGATTGTTTCGAGAAAAAAAAGTGTAATGAGAGTCCTAGTAGAGTGATCCTAAGTAAAAGATAAATATATGTAAGCCTACACCAAGGGCAAGCCACATGATAAGTAGCTCTGAGAATCAGGAAACAAATGACACCTATATGTTATTAGCTACACTGATACCTACTGATAACTGTAATTAGCTCAAGCAGCACCGCCAAGAGCAAAACAGTGAGATCGAGGCGCGACCGAGTGTATCTAGGAAGCACAACTATACAGTCCACAATCCTGACGAAAATATTTTCAAAGGACTGGCTCATCTGATATCTGAGCGCACTACGGTTCGGTTTTTTTATGTATCTGTTGATAACTTCTGGTGAAAGATACTCGATGAATTTTGAAGAACATCATCATTATCAAAGGAGCCCGTAAAATACCGTTGACAAATGAATCATCACGATATGTTTTACGTGTAGTGTAAAGTACAATGGTGAACGATATGAATGCGGGCGGACGTAGAAGCACCATTCAATGCCGCCAATTTCAGCATTGAGTCAGTGTCATTCGCCTGAGACCAGCGCCTTTGACCAATGCCTCTGATAAAGTCCCGTGGTCACCACTAAATCTCTGCGATCTGTATGAATATGTGACCTAGCCGTACATCATATCCCACATTCATCATAACGCCCATTTGGGGACCGTGTTGCTTTGCATGACGAGCCGCTCAGAAAGGCTGAACTACGCTCCGACAAATTGGTCCGTCTTCCCGATGGCCCGAAGCTGACCAGTTCCGTTTGCTATCTATTTTTAAAAAGTATCGTCTCGCTGCTGACAGCTCTGCCACGATGAGCGGTGGCGAGGAATTGCAACCAGCTGATCTTAACGACGCTTAGCTGGATGGAGGTCCTGTCGTTCTCCCGCGGACTTCCGATTGGACGAAAAACTGTTGTTTAATTCCGGTAGCTTACACGTGTGTGTGTAAATGTATATATTCATACATCATTTAATTTAATGGCGGCATGTGAAAGGTTACAATAACTTCACTTATGCGACGGGCACGATTCCAATGATGCTCTTTCCACTTTGTACTTCAATCAAGTTTCTACTGAATCTATTTTAATCAATTTATACATGCTTGATGTTTTTTTTTAACTTCGTAACTGAACACTGGCAAGCTCATAACGAGAAAGGATACTAGCCGTTTCGGTTCAGCCTTTACTGTAAGCTATCCGCCGTCAGGCAAGACTCTTCAACAACACGGCTTCTTCTGATAACATCCAAAAAACACCATCGCAGAAATGCAAGCGAAACAACTCTCCAAGATGCAATTCGTTCGCCAAAACGGACGTTGACGGCTTGGTAGTGAAATCAGGGACCGTCATGTACGGCCTGTCATGTGATAGTATGTTCGTAAGATAAGGGACCTTGATGACTGGCTCGTCACATTGACCTTTGACGGCAATCCCGACATTGATGGCCGATCCGTCACATACGGATCATGACCGCTGGTTCGTTACATACGCAAAGTCGCGTCCCTTCAATGACGGCAAGTTTGTCACATATTCTGCCCCTGACTGCCAATTCGTCCCACATTATCCCCTGACGCTTGACTGGCCAGCCGCGTTCGGCTTAGTGCCATATTTCCGGCTCAAGAGTCGGCTGAGGCCTGCGCCACCGCAGTTACCGAGTGGCAATCGACCCACTTATTGTGAACCACCGAGGTCTTTATTTAACCCGGCGCCACGCGACCCATTGACCCAAGCAGCTGGTTTGTGGTCTGCTCAGTGCTCACTGGTCTCTGAAAACCTGGGGCTAAATGTTTGAAATCGAATGTGAAAACGCTGTCGGGGAATCGGGTGGTACACAACATGATAAGACATTCAAGATAGGTCCGCGGCTTTAAGACAAAAAAATACCTACATTAACAACAATCGCTGAAGTGAAGTTGTAAAACTTCCTTCACAGGAGTGCAGAGGTCCAGTAAATTTAGTTACAATTTTTTAATTGTTAGCAATGACAAAGTACCTGCCCAGCGGTGGCCTCCTTCCCATCTATTTTGTAACGAAATAGCTGATATATTGCCTTCAGATCGCGTATCAATGACCATGGGGAGATTGTTAAGTTTTATTTATAAACTAACAGCGTTTTGTAATCTTTAAAAATATTATTTTCCTGCAATCGTAAACGAACAAAGAGAAATTAAACAATGATATTGAGCACTGCGCAGCCGACAGACTTTCAATTACTATTTATTTAATCTCTTTATAAGGGTGACTGAGATATAAGAATAAAGGCCGCACAATCTCCATTCCGAAATTGCTGAAATGTTTCGTAACAAAGCTTTTCTACAAAATCATCGACTCACAATGTAACTAGAACACCTTGATGCACGGACAAGGTGCCTAAACGAGCACCAGGGGACCGAAGTTACGCACCAGCTACACACATTCACTCACCGTACCCGTCGATTTAGCGACATTTTAGTCGCTATTTTATCAAGCGAAGTAGAGGCACACACCACGCACTCAGACAACATAAAGCACAACATACTGACACATCACATCCACCCTCACCACCGGCTGACCGGGCTGGGGCCGTCCGGCGTCCAGGAGACTTTCTGGTCCAGGGGGCTGCTCGGCGGGCTGCTGGCGGGGTCGGCACTGGCCGACCCTAGTTGTGCGATTATTGTTAGATTTGTTTTCACTTTGGAGAGGCGCTTTAAATTATGTTTATCTTTTGCGCCGATCCACCGCTGAAGATGTTCATTGTTTTGTTTCTATTTCTCAAATAAAATGAACTGAACTGAAGTGTAACTCAAGCTTCATAAATATGATTGAAACATATTCAGAAATGTAAACAACATACAATGTTTACCTTCCAAGATGTTTACTGACAGATAATAAAGGAATAAAGCAGAATAAAGGAATACCTTAAACGTAAAATCTTACCCTGTATGCAGAAAACAACATATGCATTTTAATTACCTGTCAAATGAATAGC